GACTTGGTCCTGTACCCAATGCTTAACTTATCTTCATTCCACTCAGCTACTCGCAATTTCTTGTGATATTGTGGGCGGAATATTATTACATGAGACAATTAAATGCAGACGTCTTTCCAAATTTGGCAGATCGACAGGTAATCGGTGAGTTACCACAATAGTTGCTATTCAACAACTCGACAACGTCCCATCGTCAACGCCTGCTATGAGAATTTCCCATTGCAGACGCCAACGAAATGACGTCATCGAGCTATCGATCAACTACCCTGGTTATCACCTGGTATCTTATAGCACGATGCTAGGAGGCGAACCGGAAGAATCGATGAGCTACCTCCCCCCTCGTAGTCGTTGCAGTGTTTAAGACTGAGAAAGTCGTTAATCAAAGCAAAAATTTAAGCTTTTGAACTATGATCGGAAAATTCTGGAAGAAAACTCCGGGGAATGTTTGGATTAGCTTCTGAATAGAGCTGAAAAAAACATCCAAAGAAAGACGAAAGAAGCTCTGCTGACAAAAGCTGGAAAAAACATCCAGGAAACGTCCAAGACTCGAATTGAGAAACTTATGCCGAAAACTTACATAAACTAACGGAAAAAAATCGGATGTCACATGCAAAGGAAGCCAGAAAAGTTTCGGAAACCCAAAGTAGATTTCCAGAAGTAGCTATTTCCAGGAAAAGGCAGAAGAAGCTCGGGAATACCTTTCAATAGAAGTCGAACAAAAAAAACCTTTGGCTTATGGGAGAATAAATTAAACTTCCTGGAGACGCTTGCAGAAACTTCCTAAGGTAGACTGGAAGAAACATTTGAAGAAATTCGGAAGCCCGCATACGGAACAGTTGAAAGAAACAAAGACATAGTTCTGGAAGAAAAAGTTTCTTGGGGGATGTTCTATCATCCCTGAAGACTTCGCAATTTCCTTGAATTTTTCGGAACATTCCTGAAATGCGCTTAGAAATATTCCACAATTCCTTGAAATTCCTTAAAAGTTCTTGTAATTTTCCTGAAATTAGGGGCTGTTTTGGAGTTCTCTGGTCATCCTCGAAGTGCTAGAATTTCCCTGATTCTAATGAGGATACCGGAATATCTCTAATCATTTTTCAAGGTCTTTGGACTTTCTTGAAGATTACGAAATCTCTTAAGTGCTCTCACATTTTTAAATTTATTGTAACATCATCATTAAAATTCTCTGATCTCCCTGATTTTTTTTTAATTTTTAAAAAATTATCGACACTGCCATTAAAAAAACATAGAACTTCCCATAAAATGTTCTCACAATGTTCTAATGATCATGTAAATTCCCTTACGTTTCCTAAATTTGCATGAGTCCCTCAGGACATTGCTGATGTTTTCGGAATTTTCCTGAGTTTCTTGGAACTCCTTTATAATTTCTGCAATTTCATTGAAATTCATTGATCTGTTCTGATGTTCTCTGAGCTTCACTAAAGTTCATGAAAACCATCAAATTTCCCCGAAGTTCTTTGAACTTGTGAAGTTTCTAAAATATTTATGATGTTTCCTTAAGTTCACTGAACTTTTCTTAAATTTCCGGGTTTTCGAATTTTAACAGAAGTCTATGAAACTGTCTTTAATTAATTGAAACTAACTCAAAAGACTGAACTTTTCTGAAGCTTCAGAACTTCTTAAATGTTCCTGCTACTAGTGTGGATCCGCAATAAAAATCTGATAGCATCCTTGAAGTTCCGGGAAAGTTGAAAAACTGGCGGGAGAAGATGAACGAATCATTCGAGCGAAGGCTGAAGAAGCTTCCAAGGTAAGGTGGAAGAAAATTCCAGGGAAAGTTGGATAAAGCTTCAGTAAGTTAAACAAAAATGAATAAAGACGTCCGTAAGTTAAATAATGTTTAAAAAATATTTCCGGTTCCCTAGGAATTACCGGAAATAACCGGTAAAAAAGTATCAAGCATAAGGCATTTTTAGAGATGATGTTTTAGAATTTTCTCCAAAATTAAAACGTGGGCAGGCAATAATAATTTTGATTATTAAAAAAACGGTATAAATCGGTATAAAATCTTAAAAATCGGTATTCTGAGGAACCTTATCTGTGTATCGGTATCTAGTTTGGAAATCGGGATAAATACCGATAAATCGGTATATCTGGCAACGCTGAGTGAAGCCATTAATGAGCTGTCACAAACTGTCAGTGGGAGCCAGCAGTACAAAACATCAATCAATGGGAAGTATTGATATCGAATACAAAATATTTTCTTGCTTGAAAACAATATGCACTGCAAAATTTTCGTTTCTTCAGTTCAGGAATTGGTATGTAATTTTGGCTAAATTGTAGTGTATCAAGCATGTTATATCGTAAATTTGATAGTTTTCTCAAAATGGAGGGGGTTGTAGAGATATTCAGGTACGGTTACTCTAAATTTTCGGGTTCGTGTCGGGTACGAGTATGCGAAGAAAATATTTTTGAGTTCGGATCGAGTAAGGGGTATATTTGGGTACGGGTAGCATCGAGGGGCACGCAAAAACTTCAACTCCGGCACAGGAAGTAGCCGTAATTAAATTAATTCCATTAATTACAGGGGTCAGGTCGGGTTCGAGTTCTTGAAATTTTTATGAATTTGGTACGGGTTTGGTTAGGGTACTCAAATGTTTATATCTGACCATCTTTATGGGATTGTTTGTTAATGTGATGTATTGTTATTGGTAAATAAAGGAAATGCTTAAAATATTCACACATTTATTCACCGTTTCATAACAGTTGGTAACAACAACATTTCAGCTCAACCAATAATAAGCAATAATCGGAAAGGTTAAATAATAACGTTCGTTTTTTTTATAAAAAAACTCAATGTTGAATCACACCACTCTGAAATCTTCACCAGTGAAAGGAAAGAAATTTCTAAAGATTAAAAAAATTTCATGGCTCGGAAACGGGTTTTTCAGGTTTTTTTGCGCAGTGGAACCACAGACGACTTTCTCCGAAGAAAATAATTAAAATAATGTGGTTCTCAGTAATAGAATTTTAGTCCACCTTCCACCCCTCACCGCCAGGTTCGTTAGTATTTTTGTTTTGCATTAATTCAAGTTGGTTTTGTGTGCAATGATCTGGCAACTCGCGTTCTCGCTCGCGTTGACGGGGAGCTGTTTTCTCACTCATCCAAGGAAATTTTGATTAGAGTGAGAAAGTAAGGAACAGTCAGCGCGGGAACCGTGTGCGTTACTATAGGTGCGGTGTACGGTGTTCTTACGCATGATCCAACGTTTCGTCACACTAGATTATGCATAAGAACGTCGTGATAATGAAAGTGCTGACTTGTTTCCTTCTGCCTCACCAATCACATTGATCACAGCACTTGCGATTCTCCGTCGGTTTCAGGTGCATTCATTGTGTCATAGAGCTTGCTGACATTTATCGTACGCACACTACGTCACGTATACGTATACGCAAAATGTTGTCATCGGGAGAAAAAAAAACTTCATAGCGGAAAATTTTCCCTATGAAAACAAATCACTGACACAATCATACTTTAGCAATCTCTATACCACCAGTCCAAACACTAGATGTTTTGGAAGGTTCTCCCTCAGTACCTGCAAGCAGCGTGATACCAGCTGACATTCGCTTAATATGGGTAGTGAAATCCGGAACATTTTCTCACTTTTGAGCATCAACGTCAACCCGGTTTCGAATCGCATTCCCACTGAGGTGGCACCGTTGGCAGTAATTTACTGCGCCGTGGAAAAGACCTGACTAGCGCTGGAAAATTCACCGTCCAAGGAAGGTCGCCATTAAAATAACATCAACCTAATTTTCTTCGCTGTAACGTACTCCGGATCAGACTCGCTGGGGGACCATTTTCGTGGGACGGTTTTTGTTCGCGATAGCAAATTTTCTTGGCCTAACCATCGTCGCATAGCACCTAGCATCGCGTCACTCAACAGCCATGCTACAAAGCAAAGCCGGTACGACGTCTATTCTATTTCCTTTCCCTTTCCTCATAGGGACAGTAGATGATTGAAGGGCATAAATAGTTCAGCGCCAGAGATTATTCCTCGAAAGGTCCTCTGAGCCGTTCGAGATTGGTGCTGGTGGATTTCGAGCATCCAGTATCCCGCTGTCCCATCGTAACGTTGGCTAGTGAAGCCGACAGTTTTCGACCCGAAAAGCTTCAATTAGCTTTTCAAAAGATTTCTGTAAGGCGTCTTGGGACGCACGATCTCCTGTCCCACCGAGGCATCCTTAGCGTGTCCGTGTTGGAACGGATGACCTCTTTGATCGACTGCAATTCTACCATCGATTTTCGGCACTGCTTTTCTTTAACTTCACACGGTTGACGATCCGGAGGAGGATGCTTCGTCTCCATTGTCCGAAGAAGTCAACGATTTGATCTTTTCCGAGCTGAGTTTCTCGAGCCTTACGGTTTGGCTCGAAGCAATTTTTCGACGGAAGTTCCTCGTGGCAGTAGAATCTCGAGTGGAATCTTCTTGACCAGTTCCTCCAGGATTTATTCGCCATTCGAAGAAACGAGCAAGGAAGAACTAGATGAAGACGTGGACAACCGTCGCTTCGACGTTGGTTTTTTTCGTTTAGAAACCAGATCGGAATCGCTGTCGTCACTGTCTATTGTGGTTCGTCTTTTCTGAAAATTTGCGTTTGGTCGTCGATGCAACTGACTCTTCAGAATCTGAATCATCCGATTCAATATGACGTCTGCCACAAGATCGACCCCTAGAACTCCCCTCTCTGCTATCGTTACAACAAGTCGAACCGCACGTTGCACACAGGATCAGATCCCAACGCTTGCAATCGTAATCTCGCCCATACCAACATCGACACTCTTCAGCGTCACACTCCGAAGGACGTTCCAACTGATCGTTGAATGCATTCGGTTCAGGCTCCCATGAGGCATCCCTGGGACAAATAAAATAAGATATTCATTTTACTTCACTTAATATTTCCGGAATATAAATGCCACGCTGCTGCATCTGCTGACTAAAGTCGTCCTTGTTGTTACACAAAAAGCACTTGAAAAATTACCCCGCCGATTGGGCAAACTGTGCCACGCAGCTCCGATGGAACCAGACATTCAGACAGCACGGGGCATGAATCGATTCCAGCTTTCTGTACGGTCTCATCTCATCGTAGCAAATCCCACAGGCTTCGGTCTCGGAGTATTTCACCTTACCCACCAGTGCTACGTCCTTATCGCCCCACGACTGGAACGTATCCACGTAATGCGACAGGCACTCATTCTGCATCTCACAAAGCGAATGAAATGAACGGAAGCACTTCTTCGCGCAACACAAAACATTTGCATACTGTTCCTTGCAGATGTAACACTTTTGTCCTCGCATACGAGCTTCCTCATTTCTGAAGTCCTCCTCCATGTATCCGAAGATTCCCTCCTCGTCTTCAGGTAACAAGGTACACGTAGCAGGTATAATTACTAGTTTTGCCACGTCTAGTAGACCGGTCCAGAATAGAGCATCGTACCGCAATCATGCTCAAACGCTTGAAATACAGCATATTTAGCCGTAATAAATTAAAAAAAAATCGGTTCCATCCGATCCTCCTCCATTCTCACCTCCAGCCAGAGGTGGCAACAGTACATTTTTTGAAAAACCATCGTCCAGACCGAAACAAAACAGCCAGCACACGGGCGACCGTGTATAACTACATTCCAAGCGAACAGTGGAGATAGAGAATAAATAAAATCTCGCAGCCTGATTTTTCCAAACTGTTTATTGTAATGAAACTTTAGCTGCAGGCTTGCGTGTGACAGTAAATTACCAACTCCCTTATTTACGCATAATTTTAACATCAATGCTTATGAGTGGTCAGTCTTCATTCTTATCTTTTAATTCCATGCAATAAACATCAAATAAATGCAGTAATTAGCCAGAAATCAGCAAAATTCTACACGACATAAATTTATGTCGCGCGCCGGTCTTGTCTGCTTCTTTGTGCGAAAATGTTCTGTCGCTGGCAGAAAACAGTTTATAAATGTCATGACATTTTTGCCGCTTGCCAGTTTGTTTTTGTGTGTCGTCACAATGGTTATCGCAAAAAGTATCAAATGTTAAGGAAAAAATGTTAAACTCCAGGACTTGTGCCACCACTGGTAGTGATCAAGACTTTCAAGATAGGCCAACAATTGGAAGATTGCCGCAAAAGCTCAACGCAGATGTCGCCAGTGCATGATGATGATAATGTTGACAGACTGCATATACAATTCGTGAAAATTAGCATCAGACCCCCTTCACTCTTTGGAATTTATAGAGACAGATAACAGCGCCAATAGGTTTTTGACGATACAATGTTGAACTGCAGCGTTGGAAGAAAACACGCACACCATCATCTGTACATGTACGAACCCACACCACTGAGCGGAGGATACAGTGCAAATCAAAACACGAAGCGGTGTCATCACTCAGCTTCGGCAGTTTCAGTTTACGATTTCATTCGCCATCATTGAAAAATACCTTCTTTATAAAATAGAAAAGTAATCATTAATCCAACGTAATTTTTGAATAGCCAATAGCGTGCAGCGTTGGCCAAGAAAGACGGCATATTTTATTACGTGTGTTTAGCAATGATTTCGATACGTTGCGTTTTTTCCATGCATACTTCTATGCAACTTCTATTATGTTGAGCAACAGCTTCATAAATCATCAATTCTCGATTACTTTTTCGAAGGGCCGTATCTGCATTTATTATTGTTTTCTTAAGCTTTTCTGATGCGTATAACGTGTGGTAATGATTGAACGACGAAGTGAGAATCTTGCTATCGCAATATAATGATGATGACATTGATCATTCTCTTCCCTCGGCTGATCATCAACGTCCACGCTGGCATATGTCATACTGACACCTGTCATTTATTGAGCCCTGGTGGTGAAGTTGGCGGGAGACTCCGAACAGTTTCAATGTGCACTCAAGAGTGCCATGCGATCACATAAGGGTGGTGTATCCATTGCCTTGTTCGAGGAATTGATTTGTGAGATATCTTGTTAATGGAATATCTTTGATTATATGCATATGTATCACAAGAAATGAATCCAGTCCGATCAATCCTAACAGAAGAAACTTCTTGTCAGCCATCTACGAGTAAATCGAATTCAATGCCGTTGATGCGTAGAGTGAAATCAGATCTTTCTGATGTATCTCCTATCCAAGTTGGAAACGCCGAGTTTGTTGGTCCGTCAGATGCATCGGCGAACAAGAATCCCGTTACTGAAAGTATTGGTACCGTGAGTATTAGAAGATTTGATTAATAGTTTACCTAATATTGAATTGCTTTATTTTTTGTGTATCAGCTTTAATGTTCATTTAAAAACTCGGTTGTTTCGGTCTCGCATGTATGGAATAAATCATCTGACGAAGGAACCATCATTGGTGTGGTTGCTGGATTGCGTTGCCCCTTCTTAATTGATTCCGGAGCACAGGTCAATACTTTCACCGAGGATATGTTCTGCAAGCTGGTGTCGGAACCTAAATATAAGAGTGGAGTATTCGATGTGAGGAATCAAACTGATAGACCTCTAAAGGCGTATGGTTCTGTTGGAGATATCAAAGTATCTGCAACATTCCATGGGTACTTATACGTGTCAGACAATAGACCAACATTCCTGGAAAAAAAATTATGTGGTCAAAGAAGCTCGTGCCCTTTTGGGTAGAACAACAGCTTCAAGGTACAGGATTTTAATGCTCGGTTTGAAAGTTCCTGTTGAATCACAGAATTTCGATGTCAGGAATGCTCGGTACGCTGGTGAGATAGCAGCTATTTCCCCGAATGAATTTTTCTCTAAAGTCAATGTTCCTCCGGTTAAGATTCACTACGATAAGTCGAAACCCCCATGCCTGTTGTTTGTTGATGCCTCACCGACGGGTCTTGGAGCAGTACTTACGCAATTCAATGAGATGGGATGCCCCAGGATTATAGCTTGCGCATCGAAAGTCCTATCACCTTCTGAGCAGCGTTATCCTCAAACGCAGAAAGAAGCACTAGCTGTTGTTTGGGGAGTGGAACGGTTCAGCTATTATTTATTTTTTTATTTTTTTTATCTAGTTCGTTTATTTGGAAGGCTCAATCGCGTTAGCTTTACGGAGCCGATAATTCATTGTTCACTGTGTGTAACAAGATTCACTTAATTCTATGTCTAGTAGGAGTTGGGCCGATTACTCGCGGCTTACTCGAGGTTAGAAGGGTACATTTTCGAAGGATAGGATCAGGGGAGGAGCTTGGGGTAGGGTTTCGTTGTCTCATCAGAGCGTTGTCGCCAGTATGAACGGTAGTGCTGTTCTAGCTTCGTCCGGAGTTCGACCGGCTATGGTGGGTGACCAGTGGGCGACGATGAGACTCATCGAGACGGGGGGACAAGACAAACAAAAACTAATAAAGAGAGACAAAAGACAAAAGGAATTAAATTCTTATACTAGACATTTGAAGAAAAACATAAACGGACTGCATATAGCAGAGATCACGGGTTGCCAACACGTCTCTGATAGGAACATAGGGTTGTCTTCCTTGGGCCTCGAGGGTATTCAAAAGTCGCTCTCTGGCGGCGTCATTATCCGTACATTGCCAAACTGCGTGTTCGATGTCATCGTAACCGTTTCCACACCGACAGATGTTGCTGTCCACGAGGTTTATTCTATTGAGATGAGCATCTAGCGAGTAGTGGTTGGACATAAGTCTACTCATCACGCGAATGAAGTCACGACTTAAGCCCAAGCCTTTAAACCACGCTCTCGAAGAAACATTAGGAATAATTGAATGTAACCACCGTCCAAGATTTCCAGTGTCCCAATCGGTTTGCCAACTCGAAAAGGTACTCTGACGCACTAAATGGTAAAATTCATCGTGTGAAATTTGCCTGTCATACAATTCGCCTTCCTGCGCGCCCACCTTTGCGAGAGAGTCCGCCTTCTCATTGCCTGGGATTGAGCAATGTGAGGGGACCCATACAAAGGTAATCATATATGATCTTTCGACCAGCACACACATCTGCTCCCTTACCTTTGAAAGGAAATAAGATGAGTGCCTACTTGGTTTCATCGACCGAATAGCCTCAATGGAACTGAGACTATCCGAGAAGATGAAGTAATGGTCTGCGGGCATGTTGGAAATCATCCCCAATGCGAAGTTGATTGCTGCCAGCTCAGCAACAAAAACGGAACAAGGTTCCTGAAGTTTGCGGAAGGCGCTAGAGTTTTTATTGAAGACACCGAAGCCAGTGGACCCGTCTGTAAAATATCTTTTCATGCAATTGACTTGTTGGTACTTTTCAGTAAAAATACGCGGAATAATAATAGGTCGAAGTTGATCGGGGATCCCATGAGTTGCTTGTTTCATGGTCAGATCATATTCAATTGAGGAACTGCGATTGGTGAAGTGAACACGGTCTGGAGTATAACAAGGAAGACACATATCCGACAATATGTAGTGGTGGTAGATTCTCATAAATCGAGATTGTGTGTTCAGCCCAAGAATTTCTTCAAAATTAGCAATTATAAGTGTGTTCGTCACTCCGCATTTGATTAGTATTCTGAGAGAGAGCTCCCAGAAACGGTTCTGGAGGGGTGTTACTCCTGCCAGAACCTCGAGACTCATGTTATGCGTTGAGTGCATACAGCCTAGAGCAATACGCAGACAACGATATTGAATTCGTTCCAATTTTATTAGGTGACTTTTTCTTGCCGAGAGAAAGCAGAAAGAGCCGTACTCTAGAACAGAGAGAATAGTTGTTTTATAAAGCGTTATGAGGTCTCCCGGATGAGCACCCCACCATGTGCCGCAAATTGAACGGAGAAAGTTGATCCTCTGCTGACATTTTTGCTTCAAATACGTAATATGGGCATTCCAAGTGCACTTTGAATCAAACCAGACCCCAAGGTACTTGAAAGACAATGATTGGGTAATGTTTCTGCCCAAAAGATTAAGCTGCATTTGGGCTGGGTACCGCTTTCGAGTAAACACTACCAGTTCAGTTTTCTGCGGCGAGAATTCGATCCCTAGATTCATAGCCCAAGAAGACAAGTTATCTAAGAAATTTTGCAATGGTCCTTGCAAGTCCACGGCATGTGGACCTCTTACGGAAACCACACCGTCATCTGCAAGTTGTCTTAGCGTGCATTGTTCTGCCAAACAGTTGTCGATATCTTTGACGTAAAAGTTATAAAGAAGAGGGCTGAGACATGAGCCTTGGGGCAGGCCCATGTAGCTAATTCTGGAAGTTGTCAGTTGTCCAAGGGAAAAGTTCATTTGCTTTTCTGACAACAAATTGTACAAGAAATTATTTAAAATTCCAGAAAGTCCACATCTGTGCAGATTGTCTGACAGAATTTCAATGGAAACTGAATCAAAAGCCCCCTTAATGTCCAAGAATACTGAAGCCAATTGCTCCTTGTGTGCAAAGGCCAGTTGAATATCTGTGGAAAGCAGCGCTAGACAATCGTTTGTTCCTTTGCTCTTGCGGAACCCAAACTGTGTATTTGATAGCAAGTTATTTGATTCGACCCAGTGATCGAGTCTCCGAAGGATCATTTTCTCCAACAATTTCCTAATGCACGAAAGCATAGCAATCGGACGGTATGAGTTATGGTCAGACGCTGATTTGCCAGGTTTTTTAATGGCTATTACTTTGACCTGTCTCCATTCAGGCGGTACAATGTTGTTTTCTAGCAAGGAATTGAATAAATCTAGCAAGCGTCTTTTAGCGATATCTGGGAGATTTTTCAGAAGATTGAATTTAATCATATCGCTTCCCGGTGAGGAGTTGTTCGATGAAAGAAGAGCCATAGAGAAATCCAGCATTGAGAATGGTCTATCCAGAGAGCCGCCGCTAGGAGACGCTTCTCGAAGAATATTTTGTGCTGGAACTGAGTCCGGACAGACCTTTTTAGCGAAATCGAATATCCATCGGTTGGAGTATTCTTCACTCTCATTGAAAGATGAGCGGTTACGCATGTTGCGAGCCACCCTCCACAAGGTGTTCATTGAGGTTTCTCGTGAGAGTCCCTCGACGAAATTGCGCCAATAACCGCGTTTTTTTGCTTTGATTAATTGTTTCAGTTTTGTCTCAAGCTTTGAATATTCCTCGAAGGAAAAGTGGAGGTTTTGTGTCTACGAAAAGCTTTGAAAGCATCAGATTTTTCTACATACAATTTTGTGCATTCTTCGTCCCAACCAGGTGTGGCTGGTCTCCTTTTAAAGGGTGCACTTTGAACTTTTCTTTTTTGTACTTCCAGTGAGCTTTTGTAAATCAAATCGGCTAGGAATCGATATTCTTCCAATGGTGGAAGCGCATCTATTGATTCGACACCGATTGTCACCGCCGTTGCATATTTCTGCCAGTCGATGTTCCTTGTAAGATCAAATGGAACCCGAGATGGTTCTGCAGAGTGAAGGCCACACTTTATTGAAATGATGATTGGCAAATGATCGCTACCATGGGGATCATTGATAACCTTCCACTGACAATCCAATGATAGCGATCTTGAACACAAAGATAGGTCGAGTCGGCTTTCTCGAGCCGGAGGTTTTGCTATACGTGTCGCTTCACCAGTGTTCAAAATAGTCAAATTGAAATCGTCACATAAATCGTAAAAAATAGCCGCTCTATTGTCGTCATATAGATCGCCCCACCCAGTACCATGGGAGTTCATATCACCCAGAAATAATACTGGGGATGGAAGAATCGAAACTAGATTCCAGAGTTGACTACGGCTAATGGAGGTTCTTGGTGGAACGTATACTGAAGCTATGCAAAGATCTTTGTTCTTCACATTTATTTGGCAAGCAACGATTTCGACGCCGGATAGAGCAGGAACGGAAATTTTGTAGAAAGGGTAGCACTTTTTGATCCCTGTTGGGTGGTAGTTGAAAATATCCTATATTTCGTGAATATACCGTTCGGGTTATAGGTTTATTACAAAATTCCTGTGGGTGTTTGGACATATTAGTTATAAGGCTGTGTTTAGATATATTAAGAATCATTACTTTAGTGTTTACTACCACTCAACTGGTTTGTTCGACGTTTGCCAAAAAAAAAAAATGTGTCGTGCTATCAAAATTTATCTACAATTAATTTAGGTAAGTTAACTTAGTATTATAAATTAATTTCAATTTCTCACCTCTACTCGAGCCTCTACTGTTCCGACAAAGAAATATATCCAAACTTCTCTGTTCTTCTATGTCAGTTTGTAGGTAATTTAACTAGATTTAATTCCGTAAATTAGCTTTATGTTGCTCATACAATTAACTTTTCCTCACCTTGTTAAGATAGTTTTAATCCAACAAACAGTTTTAAGCTCAACAATAGATGTACCGTTATTTACTAAGAATTGTTTATCTGTAATTGTTATTTTAGGTTAGAATTCACTGGCAAAGAATTATGTACAATTTTACTGCATTAAACAAATACCTGTTCACAATTCGCCAATATTTGTCGTTTTCAGGGACAAATGTTACTAAATTTAATATTAATATAGTTTTAAGCACTAAAGTATTGTAAATTATTTTCCTCACTGCAATTCTTCAACATCATTTCTCGCTCTGGTTGTTGTTTTCACACCGAGGTGAACAGAAAAAGCTCCGAACAATAGGTGTTGTTGTTTATATATCCACCGTCCCGTATTCCGACAATCCTCCGTACGTACGATGGGTGTGGATGGGTTTGACCATCTAAGTCAACTTTTCTGGGCGTGTGGGGCTTGGCGGGCTCGTCGAAGTAGCGCAATCAACACTCCCCCCCGTAATGCGCTTCTGGTCATCGTGATGTGCATTGCTTCCAACGCCTACGTCGAGCACGGCAAGCTTCACAGTTGGTCGCTCGTAGATACCTCCGGAAGTCTGAACAGTAGCGCTTCGCACCTGTCCATCCGAACCTTGCTTGATCCCAATAACTCGGCCTTTAGGCCAGGTGTTCCGAGGAAGTTTCGGGTCCACGATGACAACGATGTCGTTGATTTTGATGGGCTTCACCTCCGTATACCATTTCGTCCGACGAGTGATGGAAGGAAGATAGTCTCGGAGCCACTGTTTCCAAAATTGGTTGGCCAAGGCTTGAGACAGTTCCCAGCAATTTTTGAGTACTTCTGAGCTGTCGTCGAACGGTACCCAAGGTCTCAACCCGTTGCTTGATCCCATTAAAAAATGGTTGGGTGTTAGCACTGGCGACTGGTCATCGTCGAGAGGAATACTGGTTAACGGGCGAGAGTTGACAATATTCTCAACCTCCAGTAGCATGTTTTCGAGGACTTCATGGGATAGCATTCTGTTGGCTTTCAGCTTCCCAAGGTTTTGTTTGACGGTTCGTATGAGTCGCTCCCATGCTCCACCCATGTGTGGTGAGGCGGGAGGAATAAAGTTCCAGGAAGTATGTGAGGAGGTGAACTCCACTGCAAGCCGCTCTCGATCTAAATTCGCCATAGCTTCTTCGAGTTCTTTACTTGCCCCCTGGAAGTTTGTACCTCTGTCACTATATATGACTGCTGGTACACCTCTCCTAGCCATGACGTTTCTTAATGCCATAATACATGAATCGGTAGTCATAGTGTGAACGATTTGCAAGTGGATGGCGCGAGTGGTAAGACAAGTGGCGAGAAGTACCCAACGCTTCTCGAGACGGCGTCCAAGGATGATCATAAATGGACCAAAGTAGTCCACCCCCATATAAGTAAACGGACGAGCGTAGGCAGCCAGACGAGGCAGTGGCAAGTCACTCATGACCGGTGGTTGTGGTTGAGCACGGTCGTGCTTGCATTGCTGACAGCATCGACGAATACTGTTGTAGGCAGCCTTTAGACGAGGGATGCTGTATCGCTGCCGCAACTCGTTGATCACTGTGTTGTGGTTCTGATGATGATACTTGCTGTGGTAATGCGATATGATGAGATGTGTAATCTGATGATCTCGTGGAAGGATGATTGGATTCACCGTATCCTGCTGAACAAATGGACAAGCGCTGGTCCTACCACGAACACGGAGTACATCATGTTCATCTAAAAACGGACAAAGGTGATATATTGGACTGCTTCTGGGTATAGTCTTCGTGGAGTGTTTGGACGCTCGTATATCCAAAAGCATCGCTATCTCATCTGCGTAAGCACTACATTGAGCACACCGGAACAGATAGTTTTCAGCCATGGTCAGCTCTGAATTCGTCAGTGGTCCAGCGGTTCTTTCTTCTGGTTTGGTTGTACTCACGTTTCTGATGAATCGAAACACGTATGCGGTCCGACGTAGAAGTGGAGTCCATTTAGAGTAGTTTTGAGGATCGATGATTGGCTCCGGTTGTTTAACATGAACGAGTAAATGGGGACGCAGTTCTTCCATGGTGGTGCTATCGATGTGTAGTTTCATAGGCCATTCTCCCTCAGGGGTCTTGAGAAATTCCGGCCCGTTAAACCATCGACTAGTTCTACTCATGTCTGGCGCCCGTTTCCACTTAGTTCCATCATCCGCAACGTTCTTCATTGTCTGGATCCACTGCCATTCGCTGACCTCCGAAGCTTCTAGTATCTCACTCACTCGGAAAGCGACAAACTGACTATACCTACGATGATCAGATTTGAGCCAGCTGATGACGTCACTTGAATCGGTCCAAAAGAAGCGCCTGTTCACCTTGATGGACAGGGACTGCTCTATGCTGTTCGCCAATCTGACTCCGATTACACTAGCTTGAAGCTCCGAACGGGGAATTGACAGAAATTTGATTGGTGCCACACGAGTCTTCGATCCAACCAACGCTGTTTCGATGGTGAGTCCCTCCTTATATCGCAGATAGACCACTGCGGCGAAGCCCTTCTCACTAGCGTCGACGAAGGTATGCATCTGTACTTCGTTGGTGTATCCAGCAGATGTGGTCGTCCTGTAGCAACGCGGGATTTCCACTTTCGCCACTTCAGGAAGGACCTTCAGCCATTGTATCCACAACTCGAATTGTGCTTCTTCGATGGGGTCATCCCAACCGACAGACGTTCTCCAAATTTCTTGCAGTACCACCTTCAGGAACATCAAGAAGTGACCAATGAGCCCTAAAGGGTCGAAGATCATCATTAACGTTCTGAGCACTTCACGCTTCGTTGGTTTTCGATGTCCCGACATAAGCTCAGGATCATATCGTGGAGAGATTTTGAAGGTGAAGCAGTCAGTGGCCGTGTTCCACCACATTCCGAGTACTTTCTCGGTTGTCAATCCTTCTCCCATATTAAGGTCCTTCCCTTCCGTCGTTCGCTCGTGTAACGCCTCCAGAACAGCCGGGCTGTTCGAAATCCAACTTCTCATTTCAAATCCGGCTTCCGCATGAATCTTCTTAACATTCCGTGCAAGGTCTATAGCTTCTTGTTCACTTTCGACACTTGCGAGCATGTCATCGACGTAATGCTGATCAACGATGGCTCGAACGGCTGTCGGATGATCTTTCTCGAATCGCTGAGCGTTTGTATTTTTTACATATTGCGCAATGCTTGGAGCGCACGATACTCCAAACGGTAACACCGTCATGATGTACACACTCGGATCCGCATTGACTTGATTGTCTTTCCAGAAGAAGCACAGTCGAACATCTTGCTTCAGTAAAACCTGTAGATACATCTCCCGGATGTCCCCGCAAATTGCGATCCGGAACTCTCGAAATTGGACAAGAACTGCAAGTAGTGAAGTCAAGAGGTCAGGGCCTTTGAGTAACAGCGAATTGAGAGAAACGCCATACGCGGGAGCAGCTGCGTCCCATACTAGCCGCACCTTACTCGGTTTGTTGGGGTTCACAACAGGAAATACGGGCAGGTACCATTCCTGAGACCGATGTGCGTTGAGTTCGTCCTCCGTTAGCTTTCGAACGTATCCTTTAGCCACATATTCGCTCATCTTCACCATCACAGTTTCCGAAAACTCCTTATCCCGCTGCATACGTCGGTCTAAGCATTGCCACCTTCTAAAAGCCATTCCTTTACTGCATGGAAAGCGAACATTATCGTACTTCCAAAGGAGACCCGATTCGTACCGCCCTTCTTTTGGGATTGTCAGCTTCTCAAGCATCTCCATGGCACGTTGATCCTCCGTTGATCGCAGAACTTTTTCTGGTTTGACAACGCCAAGACTATCCAACGTGAAGTAGTTCTTCATAGCAGCGTGCAGGTTTTCGTCAGACTCGAGGTTGCATTCACACACTTTAATCGTGTGGACATTCACGTAGCTTGGCTGTTGCTGTGTTCGTGAACAACTCCCGTAAACTATCCATCCCAACCGTGTTTTGACTGCGATAGGTTCGTAAGGCTTTCCTTCTCGACTTTTCATAGCATGCCCAAGCGATGTATGGTCAAGACCAATCAGGATTCGAGGACAGATGTTGCTGTAGGATTCGACAGGTAGTCCGCCGAGGTGTTGAAACCGTTGCAGCAATTCTGAGTACACTAATGTCTGCGGCCGCAGTTGTAGGTTCTGAATCGTATGTACGTTAGACATCCTGTGCGGCTTCGAAGTATTTCCGATAGCTGATATTTGCACCTCTACTTTCTGGGATGCGTTCTCCACTCTTTTGGTACCACCTGTCCATTTTAAGCACAGCGGCGATCGAGGTCCTTTCACGCCTAGCTCCTCTGCTAGGCTATCCTCCATCAGCGTCAGCTCAGAACCGTCATCTATGAACGCGTACGTCCGGACAACCTTCGATGGACCATGGAGCAACACGGGAACAATTCTAAACAGCACTTCGCTGGTTTGAGCTTGATGGACGTTGCAGCTTCCAGTAGCTGGTGCCTCCTGCTTTTCGTTGTGCAACAACGGATGGTGCAAAAAAGTGCATCCTTTAATTCCGCAAGGTTTCTGCTGTCTGCATGAACCATTGTGCTTCCGCAGGCATTTACGGCATAGCTTTGCCTCCCGTACAACTGCCCATTTAGCATCTAGACTTAGTTCGGCAAATCGTTTGCACTTGGCAACTGTGGTACAGCTACCTTTGCATGTGGCGCATTTTGTGATTGGCACCAAAGATGATCCTTGGACAGCGCGTGTCTTTGCTGGCATTGATCGGGATCGTTCTGGTTCTGCGTCAGAGTGAACGTTTATAAATCCGTCATTCTTTGTTCCACGACTTCTTTGCGTGTTAGATGCAATTGGCATAACTGCACTAGCATCTTCCGCTATTGAATACAGCCACTGACTGAAGTGTAATAGGTTTGGTGCTGGGTTATTCCTAGAATATTTTGCCCAATCCAGCTTCAACCCGGGGGGAAGGCGTTCCACCAGTTCAACTTTCAAAGCCGCATTGTAGATGAAATCCTCGACTCCGCATGCCTCTATCGTAGCTACCAAGTTTTCAACTGTCAATGCGAAGTTGACCAATGTGTCAAGTTTCTCCACTTGTGGCGATGGTAACGACCGAATCTTTCTAATGGATGCCTGAACGATTGCTTCTGGTCTACCGTATAGCATTTTCAACGTAGAAATTACACTGCTAACGTTGGATGGATGGAGTAGTCGGCATCGAACGGCCTCTAAAGCCTTTCCCTTCAGACATTTCCGAAGTCGAAGCATGTTTTCTTCGTTAGAGAAGCCGCACATTTGCGTAGAAGAAGCGTACATTGAGAAGAACAGAGGCCAATCTTCAGGATTTCCGTAAAACTCTGGTAAATCCTTAGATACGGCCTGACGTGCAACCACCTGATTACGGCTTAAGATGCACACGTTCGCTTCGACATCACGAGGGTCTGGCTCCGGGTAGTGGGAGTTTTGGAATGGTGTATCTCCTTGCAGTATTCGACTCCTCGATGCTGAAGTTTGTGTATACTGATTTTCCGGCACGAAGGTAGGTTCTGACCAGAACTGACCATTTGCAGCTGTGGGTATCTGCCGTGAGCCCTGGACTCTTGGAACTGGAGCTGCCTGAGAGGCTTGCAATGATGGATGGAACTGAACTCCTGAAGCTGAAAACTGTCGTGAATCCTGTGGTCGGTAGTTATGAGTAGCTTTCCAATGAGCTTGCGGTTGTTGAGCCTGGTTTCCTCCTAAATCTGTCGTTGATCGATGAATTTGAGGTTGATAGAATTGGTTTTCGAAAGCAGGCGGTAGAGGTGGTCGTATATGAAGTTCTGGAATCGGTGCTGGTGGCTGGCGGTGCTGATTATCTGAAATAACAGCTGGCAGCGGCTTGCGGAATGGATCCATTGGATAATGTGCCGGTGGACGACGGAACATGTCTGCTGTCACTGGAGGCTCCTGTATACGGCTTCTCGATCTTGAATCGACTTGAGCTGGCTCTCGAGGTGTCGACCGTTGATTAGGAACAAAACCCTGTAGAGTTGATCGTGGTTCTGCCTGCTCTCCTATCGGTGCCTGTCGAACGACACGTTGCGGTTGATCATCGTACATATCTTCTTCAACAAGGCCGGAATCATAATCTTCACCACATTTTTCCGTATCTCTCAACCATCCTCGAACTTTCGAAATCTCCTCGGATCCAACGTCATCATCACTCACCACAGTTCCATCGTCGTCGTCATCTTCTTCGTCAATGATTCGGTATTTCTCGTCCAGGAACCTTTGCTCCAACTGCTTCTGCTCTTCCAGCTTCTGCAACAGTCGATCAACCTTGCGTTGTTTGCTCCGATTACTGCTTGCCTTTCCGATGGACTTCGTTGATCTCATAACGTTGGGGGGTGGATCTACCGGATGAATCTGCTGGAGTATTGGTCTCTGCTGCACTAGGCTACTTGCATCGAAGTACATGTGTGGATGACACTGTGGGCACATCCAGGAATAATTCGCTATGTCGCGACTTACTTCTACACAAGAAAAATGATACCACGTATCGCAACCATCACACTGCACCATTCTACTATTGTCACGTTCATTGCACAATTCACAATGACTGAACCGAGTAACCCGAACGTTTAGGTTCGGATCATAACGCGCGTTGGGTTTCGCGTAAACTACAGCGTTCATCGACCGGACGGGAATGTCTACGACATGAGTCCCAGTATGCATTTTGGGCTTGGCTCCCTTGGTTTGAGCCTTTTTAAGATTGGCAACGTCAAAATTTACCTGAGAACTAGGAAGGGGAGGAACTCCTTTTACCGCAGCTGCATTGCGCCTTGCGCCTGTTACCGTTGAGCCCTTCGCTTCGCGTTCCGCGTTGGTCACGATTGTGAGGCTTTTGGTTTTGGTAACTACATCTGCATCGGTTGCCGAAATTTCCTTATCTGCTGCACCACCGATCGTGCCAGTAGCGAAAAGTTGGCTGACAGCACCCATGGCAGAACTCAATTCTGACATGGAAAGGGTTGATGTTTTGCGTGACATCCTCGATGTTCTTAAAGAATTTTGTAAGATGTTGGGTGGTAGTTGAAAATATCCTATATTTCGTGAATATACCGTTCGGGTTATAGGTTTATTACAAAATTCCTGTGGGTGTTTGGACATATTAGTTATAAGGCTGTGTTTAGATATATTAAGAATCATTACTTTAGTGTTTACTACCACTCAACTGGTTTGTTCGACGTTTGCCAAAAAAAAAATGTGTCGTGCTATCAAAATTTATCTACAATTAATTTAGGTAAGTTAACTTAGTATTATAAATTAATTTCAATTTCTCACCTCTACTCGAGCCTCTACTGTTCCGACAAAGAAATATATCCAAACTTCTCTGTTCTTCTATGTCAGTTTGTAGGTAATTTAACTAGATTTAATTCCGTAAATTAGCTTTATGTTGCTCATACAATTAACTTTTCCTCACCTTGTTAAGATAGTTTTAATCCAACAAACAGTTTTAAGCTCAACAATAGATGTACCGTTATTTACTAAGAATTGTTTATCTGTAATTGTTATTTTAGGTTAGAATTCACTGGCAAAGAATTATGTACAATTTTACTGCATTAAACAAATACCTGTTCACAATTCGCCAATATTTGTCGTTTTCAGGGACAAATGTTACTAAATTTAATATTAATATAGTTTTAAGCACTAAAGTATTGTAAATTATTTTCCTCACTGCAATTCTTCAACATCATTTCTCGCTCTGGTTGTTGTTTTCACACCGAGGTGAACAGAAAAAGCTCCGAACAATAGGTGTTGTTGTTTATATATCCACCGTCCCGTATTCCGACAATCCTCCGTACGTACGATGGGTGTGGATGGGTTTGACCATCTAAGTCAACTTTTCTGGGCGTGTGGGGCTTGGCGGGCTCGTCGAAGTAGCGCAATCAACAATCCCTAAAAGTACTCCTCCATAAGAATCGTCTCTATCCAGGCGTATAATGTTAAAATCGTGGAAGTTGAGTTCTTTATCGGAAGAAAGCCATGTTTCACAGAGAGCAAATATATCACAGTCAGAATTGTGAAGTAAAAATTTGAACGAGTCTAGTTTAGGCACTAGACTACGGCAGTTCCACTGTAGCACAGTGATCATATCTTCGACCTCGTTCGACGAATTATCCATCGAAAGATATGATTGATGCAAGGAGGGGCCATGAAACAGTCAATTGCTTAAGATATGATTCTAATGTTGGAAGCAAGGCAGAAACTAAGCTTCTTAGAGGGTCTTGTATGTTGAACATGTTTAATATGAATTCCACAATGTCCGAAAAAGCTAGCAAACCTCGTTCGGACTTGGATTTCTTTTGAGAAGTTTGAGGAGCAGCTTTTTTATTTTTTTTATCTTTGTTGGGCAATGGCGGAAAATTCTTGCTGCATCCAGGGATTGGATCAACAGGAGCCTTCGGTTTTGTTTTTTCATCCCCATTACCCTGGGAATTTGGCAATCGTCTGGAGGTGACTTTAGTTTTCTTACGGCGCACTTTCGGGGAGGGGCATTTTCTTTTTGAGGAACCGTCCATTTTTGAAGGTGCGTGTACCACCGTAGAATCACCTTCATCGGATGAGTCAGAGTCCGATTCTTCAACTGACAAAACCGAAAATTGGTTTGCATCTTGGACGGCTGATGCAGCCTTCAACATTTGAGCATATGTCTGCTTGGAGCGTCCAGAGATTGAACGCTGCACTTTATCGGAGTGCTGTTTGTACATCGGGCACTCCTGCAAGGGGTGAGGATTCTCGCCACAGTAAGCGCATTTTACTGATTCTTTGTGGCAAGAATCCTCTTTGTGGTTTTCACCACATTTGCCACAACGAGTTTTGTTGCCGCAATGGCTGGCCGAGTGTCCCAGCCTTTTGCAGTTGGTACAATTATATACCCTCTGTACAAACAACCGCACCGGAAAAAAAGCACCATCAATTTTAACAAAGTTTGGGAGAACTGAACCTGCGAAAGTCACCCGGAACGAGTCTGAATGTTTATAAACTTTTTTACCGTCTAGCAAAGATGCTGAATGCAGTTGCCTTACATCCAGTATCTTCACTAGCGCGGTAGCGAATGTCGAGTTTTTAAAAGTTCCCGAGGCATGTTTCAAGTCCTCGACAGTCAGACTCGCGTCGGAGACCACGCCTTCTATCTCCACATCTCGAGAAGGGATGTAGATGTTATACTCAACACTAAAAAGCTCGTGATCAGCAATTTTATTTGCCACATCATAAGTCGGTGCTTCTACACGCAGTTTGTTGAATCTTTCTTTGTGTACCAAGATTCCCGGATACTTACGCAGCAAATCTCTCGTTATGTCGAGAGTTTTCAAAGGTTTATTTTTGGACCGAAAAAAGACAACCCATGGTCCTTTCGAAGACGGTTCATAGTATCTGGTTCGCGTAACGTAGGCATCGGAAGATGCCATAAGTGTTGCGCAAAAGCGGTGCGCAACCACTTAAGAAGGAAAAAAAAAAATTAAACCTTCACTAATTAATTAATTTTAATTACTAGTAATTAAATTTTTTGCCCGACGTACGAACAAATCAAAAAGAAAAAAAAAATCGAAACAAAAAAAAAAAAACAAAAAAACTTATATCTACTTGCAAAAAGTTGTCTCACTATGACCCATACTCCCCTACCAGGGGTGAGAGACAGAGTCACGCGCCACGAGGCAAAATTAAACTACAATAGGGAGGCAATGGACTTGCAAAATGTATTGTCTAATACTTATGCCGGTTGTAAACAACCTATCAGCCGTTGCAGCTAGATGGTCCGTTTGCTGCTGCTGGTGGTGATGGTTGGTGTTGGTGGGTCGGCACGATAATGAAAAAATGGCTTGACGACCGGATGGATTACCGGGGTGAATTAAAGCTGGATGGCAACTCCAAGGGGCTCGGCCCATGGAATTCCACTTCCTCTGTTGCACACTGGTCACTTGGGGCACCCAATGGGGGGGTGAAAAAACCGCTCGGGTGGAAAAAAAACTCCGAAAAAAAACTAGATGCCGCGTGACTGAGACCGGGACGTTGTTAACCGACTGAGTGTTCAACTAGGAATGGGAGCTATTATTTATTGACTAGATCATTTATAATTCGAACCGACGCTGAGGCCAACCAATATTTCCTTAACAGTAATCATCGATTGGGGAAAAGAGCTGTTACCCGTGCAGAAGGTTGGGCTTTGAGATTGCAACCATACGATTTCTCAATTCAGCATATACCAGGAAATGAAAATGTGGCCGATGTACTTTCTTGTCTAATACCCGAAACGCAGAAATCCGACCCATTCGAAGAAGATGAAAAAAAAAAACACTTCTTGTATGCATTGGATCTTGGTTGTATGGAACTAACATGGAGTGAAATTGAAGCGGTTTCAGAAGATGATGATGAGCTACAATTAGTACGCGACGCGCTGCAGACCAAGAAATGGCCAAATGAAATACGGGCATACGAAGCACAGAAGAAAAAATTACATTACCTGGGATGTTTGATATTCAAAGATGAACGAGTGATCCTGCCTCGATCTCTACGTGGGAAAGCTCTTAATTCAGCTCATGGTGGTCACGTTGGTGAAGTGGCCGTGAAACAGATTATGCGTCAGTTTTTTGGTGGCCAAAGATGTCCTCGGAAGTCACACGATTCATCAAAAATTGTGAAACATGTGCGCTATTGTGCAAACGTAATCCTCCATTGCCACTTGCATCTAGAGAACTTCCTGATGGACCATGGGAAATTCTACAAATAGATTTCTTGTCGGTCAATAATTTTGGAACAGGTGAGTTCTTGATTGTTATTGATACATACTCCCGAATTTGTCGGTTGTTGAAATGAAATCTATGGATGCAGAAAGCACAAATTTTGCTTTGTGTAAAGTTTTCCAAACTTGGGGGTTACCTGTGATAATCCAAAGTGATAACGGACCTCCATTCCAAAGCGCGACATTCAACAACCTTGACCGTGCAGATCTCCGAGACTGCGACGTAGAATCGAATGTCATCAATGTTGGAGACGTGGTGCTGCTTGCACAACAGCGAAAGTCAAAGACAGATCCTATTTTTTGGACGGAACGATTTAAAGTTGTGGCTAGGGAGGGAGCAAAAGTTGTAATAATGAGTCAAACTGGTGTTCAATATTCAAGAAACGTTCGGGAAATAAAAAAAGCACCCAACTTCGGGATTTCGGTTGCTCCAACGGACGCTGAATTTCTCGATGAAGCTGTTGGTAACGAAATAATAAGACTGGATTATATTGCAGAGACTTCAACGAATGAAAACTTGAATCCACTCCTGCATTCGGATGAAGCTGATGAGCCTCGAACACTTCGCCGTAGGAATTTGATCAAACGTCCAACAAGATTCGACGATAACTACCTTCACGCTAACTTGAAAGTACCCATTAATGGTTGAAAAAGACCCATTTTGAAGAAAAGTGGCTTAACTCATTAAATGAGTAAATTTTTTACCCATTAATGCGTATCTGTTACCCATTAATGAGTAATTGTTATTCATTAATGGGTAACAGATACTCATTAATGGGTAAAATTGTTTAATCATTAATGAGTTAAGCCACTTTTCTTCAAAATGGGTCTTTTTTTACTCATTAATGAGTACTTTCAAGTTAGCGTGTTTACCATGTATTTCACTAGATTACGCTGAGAAAAATGATTTCCAGTGAAGAGAAAACTGTTTCGGAATCGCTATAGAAACCAAATACAATGTTCGAACTGAAAAATAAATACGACCTACTTGGGCTTAGCTTAAATCGAGTACTATTCTTTTTGTTTGTGATAGGTATGTATATGTTATGTGTGTGCGTGTGGTAAAAAAAACAGAAAATAAAACATTTTTGCTGGATTCATCTGTCGTAGATAAAATTAATTCGAGATGACATGAAGATCTTGTTGAAAGATGAGTGTCGATTGCCGGTCAGGAAAATCAACTATAAACGTTGAAATA